TATATATATATATATATATATAATACCGAGTACTATAATGATATCTGGCTATCCGACCGGATAGTAGGTATAAGTATCGGATAATATCGGATACTTCCTGGATATTCTAGTAATCATCCCTAATAATATAATCACATAATTTTAATAATCTTAATTTTAATGTTAAGTTTGCTTACAATATTTGAGGAGTTTTTAGAATTCGGAAACCACCTCTTATCCGAGGAAATACATCCTCCGCGAAATAGTAAGTATGCCCTACTGCCATTCCCACAAGATCAACCCATATTGTATTGCCAAGCAACACAGAGAAGCCTAACAGCACCCACGGTAAATACGGAGCCTAAAAAAAAGTTATGGGTAATTGTAACATGACTATTTATTAAATAGAAGTCAGAATAATAATGCAATAGCTAATTACACAATATTAATAAAACAAAAATAATGCATGACATGTATATTGCCTTAAATTGAACCTACTTGGAAGTTTAAAAGTCCGAAGAAGTTCATCCTGATAAAAGGATTTCGTCGTGACCACACGTACACCAACATTATTGTGAATGCATGCCCCAGGAATAGCAAATTGACGAAGAATGCAAAAGTCTATGAATAGTTAAGGAACAAGGACAAAAATATTCTTAAAAAAGACATTTTTTAAATAGCAAACATTAATAATTATAACTATAATTACCATAATCATAATTATAATTATCATTGTAACTACTACAATCTACTATAAATTATTATTATAATTATGAAGATTATTATATACACAAGTGCTATTAATTGTAATTGTTATTAAGACAGAAATGTAATTTAATTGAATTATTAATAGAATATTAGTGTTGCAATCGATAATATTATAGAATATCATTATAATTATAATTATTGAAATTATAATAATTAAAATTTGCCAAGGATACAATCATGCATAATCCACCAAAAATAAACATCATCACAAAATCAGCTGTTCTCCTGCGGAAAGATCCTTCCTCCAACATACGACAATATCGATATGTGAAGATCATATTGAATAATAGATTGAATCCAACGTTTCCAAAGAACAGAAATGTTGTTATTAATCGCCATATCTGAAATAATCCAGTATAATACTTTTACTTTAGGATTACTTGTGATTGTACTGTTGATTTAGTACATGACAAAAAAATCAATTTGACAAAAAGTACAAATCTATTCATAAATTTTCTTCTAACGATGATAATAACCTTTGAATTATCTTACATAATAAAGTCAATTTTACATAGTCATTTGCATATCTATACTTTCATACCTGGTATTGCTCCACAATAAGAATAGGATTGAAATACAGTTGAAATGGGGATACCAAGTCTAATTGCTGAAACATTTAAAATAATTATACATTGCTGACAAGCAAATATATTTTATAAACTCAACGAAATCCATTTGTTCATTCGATTAAAATTATTTCCTAATTATCAGGCTTCTCTCTGTATATCATTTTTATACAATCATTAGGCAAGCATCAGTGGCAAGGATAAGTGCTGAGTCATCAAATGTGCTCAACTTTGACTTGAGTCTTATACTTGAATCTTACAAAATAAGTATAAGACTTATCTTGCAGAAACAGATAAAGAGAGAATTTATAAGATAGGCATTTTGGAAGATTCGGGTTTGGACCCGTGCGACGGACGGCCAATGGGCGAGGTTGATCGACGGGATTAAAAAAAAACACGAGATAAGTACCACAGCAAGGGTCGTGATGACGCAGGCTGTGGTGTAAGCCCGCGTCACCACGGGCATCTGCTTGTATTCGTGCCATAATGCTTCGTAGGCCATTGGCATCGATTGTCGGCGACCTCACGCCGAACGTATTCCTTCGTTCGCACCAAGATCTCGCAGCTACATACACGCCGCTCTCCAATCCTGCTGCTCGTTTCACCATCGCATGTCGCACCGATGCGCGCGGCAATGTTACCTGCACATCGTTGCCCGCAAACGCGATTTCGTCTCCGTCGTCCGCTTTGCACACACAATTTTTGTACACGTAACACGTGAAACTGCGTGAAACGTGAAACTGTCGGGGGAGGGGGAGTGCACGCCTGAATTTTCGCGCGAAATACGCCGTCACTGCCAATCCACACAGGCTGTCACGAGCTGTCGGACTGTGACTTTTTCGCCAGCAGATTGTCGATCTGTGCTCATATCGATCACTGCACCAACGACGAATTCCACCAAACTTCTCGTCGCCACGGTCGCCGTTGCGCGCGGGTTGTAATGTTTATCCTATGGTTTATCCTACGTAACGTCGGACGCGAAAAATCACGAGAATCATCACAGAACATATAGAATTGTGTCGCTCCTCCAGTAAGGACGCATGTAAAACGGACTTGATCAATCATTGCGTTTGATCGACTGTCGGAAATAATTCAAGGATGGTTCTTACTAAGGAGTACCGCATTTGCATGCCGCTCACTACGGAAGAGGTAACCTTCGAACGCTTATTTAATTATTTATTATTTTATTCGATAATCGAAAGTATTTATCCCACTCATTTGATAATCGTTACCTATCGTATATTGATCTTTTTTTTTTAAAGATGTCGAAATCTTTTCTCTAAGAATCTTTGTAATGATCGATCAATTTCTTTGTATAGTATCGCATTGGTCAACTATACATGATCGCCAGACATAGTCATGAACAATCCGATAACGATGAAGGAGTGGAAGTGGTTGAAAATACTGTCTGTGAGGATCCTGTTCACGGAAAGGGTCAATATACTGAGAAAAGAATCCATCTGTCTAGGTAAATTTTATTTTTAAATATATAACATATAAGCATAGTTCCATAACTTATGGTTAACTCTTAATCAAGGTTTAACTTATTCATTGTCTCTTTCCAATTTTAAAATTGGAAATAGATAAAAAAGAAATTGAACCTGAGTTAAGAATTAAGTATGAGTTGTGGAACTGAGCCATAGAAATACATACAGTATTGCAACAGGTATGGATGTTTTCCAGCAAGGATACAGTATAACATGCGAATCATTTCATCCTTGTTTAACATTAGTAAACAACAAGAATATGTCCTTGCTGAAAAATGTCCTATATAGGAGTTTTATAGTGCTTGCTTTCTTGAAACAAACATTTTCACTATCTCTTTTTTTTTCAGTAAACTCCCTTATTGGATTCAATCCATCTTGCCACGAATATTTTATGTGACAGAAAAAGCATGGAACTATTATCCCTTTACTATAACAGGTATGTTTTGCTTTGTTTGCATGATATAATCACAACACTGAATTACAAATTTTGAATCATTTTTAAACGGTGAATCTGCTACTAGAAAAGTTTCATCTGGTCGAATTTTTAAGATATTGCATGTCAATTTTTAAGACTTTTTCTAAATAATTTGCGATGAATGATGAGAAAGGCAAATCCACTAGAATTTGATGATAATTAAGAAACATCAGGATACTGGAATGAAAACATGCTAAACGATTACTGCTAGATCAGACCTATCTAACACTTTGCTTGTGAACCAAAACTCTTCCACTTCTCCACTATCTCGGTAGAGCAAGACGGAGTAAAAATAACAAAGAATAGACATTAAGATTCCATCTGAATTCAGATTTGCCCAAGCATCAGAAATCTGATCATCGTCAGTTATTATAAAAATCATTGATCTTAAGCGTCGAAACATTTGATTAAAATTTTATTGTAACATTTGGGTGTCACAGACAGGATAATAAACAAAATAAAAACACCTACTATAATTGCAAATTGAAAAATGGGTTTCCTTTTGGTTCTTTTTTATGACATTTAGACAGACCTGAATTCAGACAAAATCTTGGTGTCTAATCCTTTGTTATTTTCGCTCCGTCTTACTCTACCGCGACGGAGGAGAGATATAAGCATTTCGGCTTACGAGCAAAGTGTTGGACAGATCTATACTAGATATTAATCCATGCAAATATATTAAAAAAAATCGCTTCTTATATTTGAAAAACAAGACCTAATGGAAATATTTTAATGGCACATTCTGATTTAACATTGAAAAAATTACCCTAAGAACAGCCTTCATTTACTCTTGCACAAAATTTTGTAAACTAGTGTAATTGTTTTTTATCAAATTTTACAATCATTACTTTAGAAATTGGAAGTAACATGACTCTCTTTTAGTACTAATATAAATAATGATTTTCAATTGTTGGTATTTAAAAAAAAAAGAAAGAAATTAAACTGTCTTAATTTTTTTTTATTTTCTTGCATGTTTATTCCTTCCTGACGACTGCAGACTACACTGTGAGTAACGTTCAGTATGAATATTGTTATAAAATTTTATATTATTCTTGAATTTCTTTTCTTTCAGTGTTCCTTTATGCCAAAGTTTCATATAGCGATAAACACACGGTATGAAAACAATAATGGCTCCACAGAAAATGTAAGTAACTTATTATTACATCATATTTATAACATACATTTTGTTATTACTTTTTATTTAATAATATAATATTAATACTGATGATTCTATTGTTATTAAATTATAGTGCTTAGAGCTGTCACCCATGGAATTGATCCATCGAGAAGTCGATTTTGTAGATATTGCATATGACGAACTCTCCGCAAAACATTACAAAGAGGAAGAAGTAGGCTTGCCTATAACCATAATTTGATTCATATTTAATTCCTAATATTAGATTTTAATTCTAATCAAGATGTCTTAATTGTAACAGGATCCAAAGTACTTTCAATCGAAAAGAACAGGCCGTGGCCCTCTGGTTGAAGGTTGGAGGGACACAACACAACCTATAATGTGCTCGTATAAATTGGTTCATGCCTCGTTTGAAGTCTGGGGTATGCAAACGCGAGTTGAAGATTTCATACATAGAGTAAGTTTGTCTAATTGACCATTCATCTGCCTTACATTTTAATAATATTTTTTTCAACAGTTGTATAAATAATCATTACTATTCAGAATATATTTAATATTTAGTAATACAAAATTATATGAAGTAACAACTGAGATTAGTGATTTTACTTGTATGGTCCAATAAGATTCTTATTGTTTATATGAATTCGATTTTTTGATATACAGATTGAATGTAATATTCAAAGAACAGTAACAGTACTAAACTCTAGAGTCTTTTCTATTAAAAGTTGTGATTACATATTGATTATTTTATTTTCTTTTTGATTTTAGTGTATAAGGGATATTTTAGTGTTGGGTCACAGACAGGCATTTGCCTGGATTGACGAGTGGTATGACATGAACCTGGAAAATGTACGGCAATATGAGCAGAAAATGCAAATCGAAACAAATGAAAAGGTTAGACTGAAAAATCAACTTGATGAGAAACAGACCGGTACACCGTCCTCATCTATGCCAACTACGCCAAAGTCACCCACACAACGATCGTGGTTTTCCTGGTCGTAGCCACAATTAGTGCAACAATTGATTTTGAGCTCTGCAGCAGTTTTCTGTCGCTCCGGTTAATATTAAAAAAGAAATGAATGGCAATCTCTGTTGTTCATGCTCATCTTTTATCTATCTTAGAGAATGCACAAATCAATCATGACATATTCTTTAAATGAACTTTACACTAGTAATTTAATTGGTTTTATTATAGTAACACACACAACTTACGTAGTTTTCCTTGAAAAAAAGTACAAGAAAAATAATTTTAGAAAATGTAAATAAAACTTAAAAATTTGTTATTAACCTAATTTTAACCATAGTATCTTTTTCGTGAAAGAAAAATCTAAGAGGAAGAAGATTATGATTTTAATTTTAAATAAGAAAAGGCATCATATTATTTTTATCAATATTATTTTTATTAAAGGAATATGTCTAATTGATTACTGCATTTTTTGAAATGTATACATAGGCGTAGTTTCATACACGTTCCATACATAAGCTTGCTGTGAAACGATTTTACGTACTTTCGTATCATAGAATACACCTGAAAATATCATACTCCGTATGCGATTACACAGTTAAATTTTAAGAATGCCTAAAGGAAATTGGTTTAAGTCATTCCACAAAATGGCATATGTAGTTAAATTTTAAAATTTAAATCGTAAAGTTTAATTGCACATTTTAGTGCACATCTTACATATGCGAAACGTTTTATTTACGTTTTGCTCGCGCGCGTTAGCAGTAAAATAATTTTATCGTGTACAATTTTACGGTGAATTTATAATGTATGAAATATTTTATTTGCAGTTTAATGTATAGAGGCACTGAAAAAGATATAAAAATATATGTGTTTGCAAATAATTATTTAAATAAACATCTTATTTAAATAAACATCTTCATTTTATATTACAATGTATTTAATTTAACGAGTCTTAATTCTAAGAAAATCATAAAATTTGTAATATGTTCTTGTAAGATTAATACCTACAAGCGCTTATAATTTTACTGTAATATCTTTACAGACAGCTTCTTGCTAGCCATAAGATTTATAAAAAATCGTGGATATTTACGAATGACCGTACATCTTATACATACACATAGAATTATAATGTCAGTCATAAGTTCTTACAAGTTTTACGAAAACAAATTACAAGCCTCATGATTCTGTTTAGAATTGATCTAGTTACTTTTAATTAGATCGTTAATCGTTACTATTCACTGGCAGTACTGTAAACATAATATTTTAATTAAAGTATAATTGAAGTATTTAATCAATTTACATAAACAAAATTATGACAATATAAATACAGTAATTTGCATCTAAAAATACTTTGCACATTTGTACGATTGTTATAAAATTTTTAATTAGGATTAGCAATTGTCGGATGTAACCTTCCAACGATCGGGTGTTGTAACGGTGTAATAAGAACACGTGCCATCTCACCAACGTGACCTGTCGGCAAAATTTTATTGAATCGTTAATAAACGTTTTATTAGAGAAAATAAACCAAATCACTAGTATTCTTATCATTAAAGCTTCTGAATTATCACATTGAGTCGTGATGTCAGAAGCGAGAAATGACATTAATTTTTATTATTTGCCATTTGTAAATAAAGACAATTTCGATAAAACAAAATGATGAGATCGTTTTAAAACATTTGTAAAAATAGATGAAAATTATGCTTATTCCGCCTCAGAGTCAGTAAATAATCATAAAAAGTGATAAAAGGCAGGTGCAAGTGAAAATAGGCATTATTAAATAAAAACATTTTACGTGCTTTTTATCATTTTACGATTATTTACTGAGGGAATCAGAGGGAATAAGCATAGTTTTCATCCATTTTTACAAATGTTTTCAAGCGATCTCATCATTTTGTTTTATCCAAATTGTCTTAATTTACAAATGGCAAGTAACAAAAATTAATGTGTCATTTTTCTGATGTCACGATTCAATATAGTTATGGTGACTAATCAGGAGTCTTAATAATAAAAAAAATAATAAAATTAAAATAATCATACTTTACGAAATAATAGTGGATCTACATATTAGTGAAATTATAATAATAAAAATTAATTAATAATATCTTACAAATATTACAATGATCTCTAAGTCGAACAAAAGGATACAACAAGGAAAACTCTTGCCATCTCGTTAATTCTTCATCTTCCTCTTGCGAGGTCGAAGCTGTCTAAAGATGCATAATACGGATGATAGCGGTTATTTTTCACTAAAAAAACTATTCTAAGATGAAAACAATTACATAAAGTTAAATATGACTCAAAATTAAGTTAAGGAAATGTTAATGCATTTTTTAAATTGCTTTAAAGTAAAGGTCTCTTACATCGATGTAATTCGTCATGGAATTTATAGTTTCCGTATAAATGCCATGTTGTACATCGCGACGGAGTTGCGCAGCGGCTTCCGTAATTAATTCGCTGAATCTGGCCGCCACTTGTTTCCATCTTATTAAATCACTAGGCTATAAAATGAGACCAAAATAAATTATATGAAAGAAATACTTAATATAATTCATTTTATAAGGATTTAAATGCGTAATTTTTTTCAATACCCTGGTGAAAATTTTTCTCATAATTTTTATACGAATTGGAACATTTTTCAGAAATACTCAGAAATATTCGAAAAGTTTATATCTTCTCTCAGAATTTTTCATACAAGTGAATTCTGAAATATTCTGAAATTTCTTATCTCATAATTTTTAAAAAATATTTTCAGATTTTATAACATTTCATCAGAAATTATACTTACAAAAAATCTTAGAAATCTTACGATATTTCATAATTAACATATAAGAAAAATTCTGAGAAAAGATGTAGATTTTCTGAGAAATGTTCCAATTTGTATAAAAATGTTAGAAAGTTATAAAATTATATAGAAATTCTGAAAAATTATATGAAAAATTCTGAAAAGTTTTCACCAGAGTAATTATGCATATCAGGGGCTCACAGATTTTAATGATCCTGATATATGTTATCAAGATCATGACCCTGAGCACCAACGAGATATTATTAAAGACAGTCGGCGAAGTTCGCGTGCCTGTTAAAATTTAAATGATTAAGAATAAGAAACTAATAATACAGTAGTGATTTCATGATTTATTAATTTCGTAGACATGTATATATGTTTAAAACTTAATAATACTCGATTTTGATTTAAAACTGATTTTAATGTTATCATCCGAGTTCGATTATCAATAGAGATAATAACTTTAGAGAAAAAAATATAATTTTTCAGCAATATATAAGATATTATAGCATTAAAAATATATATACTTATTTATACAGCATTATTTATATAATAAAAAATTACGAATTTTTTTAATTTTGGAAGCAGTGCACTTGCACACAGTTCAATTGCACCACTCACATATCTGATGGAAGGAGTAGCATAGTGTGTGTAGTTGGACGGTTGGAGTTTCTATAAATCTCTGCCCTCTCTGCCTATGGATGTTCATGAGATTTAAGAGCTACAATCTTAAGATGTAAGTCAATCTGAAGACTATTAGCATCTTAAAACATTATATTTAAGATAAAGTTTTAAAATAAAAATGGATTATGAATACCGTCCCATGTTTAGCGTTTCACAATTCGTAGCTTTTCCTCCTTGTGAACAGTCCATAGACAGAGAAGGCAGAGATATAGAAAGAGATACTGTCCAACTGCACACACCATGTAAAGACGGAATCACACGATATTCAATTTCTTGAATGATAAGCATGCACCCCCTCCCCCGCAGAGGTTATCACAATCTAAGATTCAAATTCACCGCATGATATGATCCTTTTCTTGGATCGGAAAACTAAGCAGAGGAATAATGAGAAGAATAAGAAGAAGACGCATGCATGCTGCTATGCTTGCTTTGATGCATACAGTCTGGCGTTTGACAAATAACTATGAAATTAGCAATTATTTCTTTTGATTGGTGCATGCAAGGAAATAAGCTATGAAGTAATCCATAATAAATATAAAAATCGTGTATGTATGCAGCATGCAACGCTTAATGCATGAACTTACTATATTCTACATACATCAGAGCAGACGGCTGTATGCTATCATTCAAGAAATCAAGCATCGTGTGATTCTATCTTTATTCCTTCTACCATGATGGAAACTTGGAACACCACTTGGCAGGGAGGATGCGGGGTGAAATTCGCTTCGCGTGAAAAATCACACGTTCCTTCGCAGGGTAGGAGGTAAGGTGGAACTCGCTTCGTATGAAAGTCATGCGCCTCTTGACAGAAGAGATTTATTTTAAAATAGAGAATTTTTATTTTATGTAATAGAAAAAAGACATTATTTCTTAAATTTATTTTATTCATAACCTTTTAATGAATAACGATGGCTAAACCCGGTTGGAAGACAACATATGTCAAGATCATTGAAATCTGTGAGTTCGCTCCTAATATATGCATAATTACCTTCTTTTCCAATTATGCAAAATAAAAAATAAATATTTAAGAGTTTAATATCTAAGTAAAATTCTCAATGTTAAAAAGAGTAAATTGCATTGTATAAGATCTTTAACGCTAAAAATTTTTGTATAAAATAAATTGATTTGATGGACTAATGAGATATTATAAATAATATATTATTACGGATAAATTAAAAAACACTGGTAAAAGTGCAACAGGTAATGGAGATCCGCGCAATTCGGAACATTCAGAAGGAGGTCCTGAAAGAGTTAAGTGCCTTAAAAGATCCAAAACATGAGTCAAGAGCTCGCAATGACGACCACCGACATCCTGTCTAATAAGTCCTAGAGCATCTTGTGCAATAACTTGTGCTTCTACACCTGGATTATCAGCTGATCATATATAAATATTAAGATTTATATTTATACCATTCACAAAATATACAAAGTTCTCTAAATATCTTTAATATTACAAATGATAATTAACATTAATAAATTATATTTAATAATATTAATATTAATATCGAATATTAAAAACTGAAATGTTAATTCAAAATCTATTATACTAATTAGGTATACAGATCAAAGATTTTAAATCATCGAAGATTTATTTGTCATCAAAATTTTAGATTTGATAATATCGTAATAACTGGCATAATTCACCAGAACTAACATTCTGCTGACGCTGAATTTATAAATTTACGCTTCGATGAACGTTGAATTTTATACATATTTGTCATTTTCAAACGACAAATAAATTATAATTACGAGAAATATTCGTTGTTTTCTTACACATTTATCACTTTCATTCCTTATTTATTTGTTAATATTTACCAAGAATCAATTCTTGCACGTGCTGCGGCATAATTGGTTTCTTTAAGCGGCTAAGAAAAATTTGTAAAGCTGCCGCACATTCCAGAGCAACATTATTTGAATTTTCAAAATGCGGTTTATGGCCTTTCTTTAGAGAATTCAGAATATGTCGTCGAACCTCACGACGTCCTGCTCGTCGAAATAATCCTTCCACTCTAGCATCTTTGATGCAGAATTAAAATTATTAAAGATAACAATATTGGAATTCCCGTAATAAACTATAAAATAACTAAGAACAAACGGGCAATTGGGAATTGACACAATGACCGGTGCGTAATTCGTTCGCTTTAAAAAAGCTTTATTTTTTTCAAAGCGAATTACGCACCGATCAATGTGCCAATTCCCAGTTGTCCGTTTATTCTTAATTATTTTATAAAATTATTATAAAATATAAATTAAATTCTATATTATATTAAAACATATACAAATATATTATATTAGAACATACGATATATACGTACGTAAGTATTTTAGTATAAAAAAATCATAGAGAAGTTTAAAAAATATTTTAAAGAAAAGAGATGGAGCTGTAAATTTGTTTTTTATTTCGTTTCTTTGACTTAATTTCATAATTATATATAATTAATAATTATATATAATTACACATGAAATATATTCATACATCTTTCTTTCATTTGTAAAATTACTTTTTTCAATATTACTATTTTTAGTGTACTAAAAATAGTAATATTGAAAAAAACATCAAAAATAGTTAATGGAACAATTTTTGCATTGTAAGTTTTAGAAAAATGCAAAAAAATTTGCTCATACATAACTATATATAATTATTAATATTATATAATTATTAATTATATATGAGCAATTCTTTTACATTTCTCCAAAATTGATTTTTTCGAAAACAAATAATGCGAAAATTTTCCTTTTAGTTATTTTTGGTATTTTTTCATTATTATTATTATTTTTAGTGCACTAATAAAGTAATTTTGCAAATGAAGGATGTCTGAACATGTATGTACGTATTTCATACATAATTTTATATTTATGAATATTTACACACGTTTATGTATGTAATACACACACACACACACACACACACACAAATTTTTTTACCGGGATAGCCTTTCTAAGCTTAAAATAATCGTTTAAAAAAAATAATACCATGATCTTTCACAATAATATCGAATTTCTTATAAAAACTCATTCTTATAAAATGAATTTTAACATCAAAATTCAACAATTTACAAAAAAGAGAAAACATTTTGAAATAGACTTACGCTCTTTTAAAAAATGTATAAGTATTTTCACTACATCCAAAGACTTCTGCGATATTATGTCGTCACCTCTATCTTGCCTAAAGATTAAAGATAAAAGGAAGTGAATATTAAGAAATTGAAAAAGAAATAAGCAAACAATTCATTTAAAAATTAACAGATATATACAGGAAGCGATTGATGCAACATGGAAAAAACATTTTTGTACTCAGCATCGTGTGTCCTCGCTGCATCCCTAACATGCGAGCTTATAAAGAATCGTCAAGGTTTCTTTATTCGAATCTTTTAAGTATGTCGAGACAAATTTCTTGTCGCTATTTGTTTTATTTGTCTGTGAGCGTAATCCTAGCTTGCGGATCGTTTCGAAGAATTCCTAAAGAAGCATCCTGCCCTTCATGTAGTCTAGATTGCCCAGAAGCTTTGACCGTTCAATTACCATGGTAAGAATATAATTTAAGGGTCAACAAGAACCAAGTTAGGTACGCCTTTTGTGATATAGATACATATATTATATACATTCTCAGATAATAAGCTGATGTTATTTTGATGTTAAAATGACAAATAACATCAGCTTGTTACACATGTCTGCATTACATCATATATTTCAGCATAAAATAATATTTTATCATGAAACTCTTTTTTACTTGGTATGTTTTACGAGTTACGAAGCCTGCTAAGAGCAGGATTTTGCAATTTTGTTCTTAAAAGTATTATATAACAAATAAAATAATCTGCTCCTTGCATGATGCAGATGCACGTTTTCATACTGATATTTTCTCTCCTAGAAGTAACATTGACCATTATGAAATCTTTTCAGCTTCTCTTTTTGTAAAACTTACGAAAGCGTGTACAGAGTCGGATTTTACAATTTAGTTCTCAAAACATTATAATAAATAAAATTATCTGCACTTCAATAACTACATTTATAGTGCAGACCGAGTAAGATATCGAAATGATTATATGATATGAAATTTTTATTTTAACTATTTTTTTTTTCAACAAAGACACTATGTAAGCCGTATAAGCCTTTAGCCGACTTTCTTGATTACAAACATTGCAGTTACATTTTCTCAGTATTTTATAGCCATAATTTTAGCATAAAGAAATTGTTTCTGACAGAGATCTCTATAGTCACTCTTGTCGATCCTTAAATCAAAATATATAAAAGTTAGAAACTGCTAAATTTAAGAATTTCCAATCTGACAACTTAAATTTTCATGCATAATAAAAACATTCAATCAAACTAGAATGTGCCTCTAATTCAAAATAATATTAATATATTATTATATACATAAAAAAAATATATAAAATATATTTATTTATTTATTTATACATATCTAATACATAGTGGGATTATATTATACATGTCCAATTAGTAATACGACATAACTACGCTATTATGACAATTTATATAAATTAGAAAAATTTAAGAATCTTAATTTAAACTAACGGATATAAGCTATCATTAAGAAAGTTGGATTATCAATAATCGTATACTTGCAATATTAATACAGTATGATAGTAACTATATTAAGTATATAATATGACTATATCTATAGCTAACACTTCAATTTTCTCTCCAAAGAGAGAAGATAAGTAAAAAATTCAGCATTTTAGAATTTAATCTTAAAATGTAAAAGAAAGTTATATAGAATTGACAAGTAACGTTGTTACAAGTTACTTTTTTCGGTAACGTTTGAGTAATGACGTTACATTTTCTTCTGAATAACGTTCATGGTAGCATGGTCACGCAGTTAAATTTTTGAGGTAATGGTAACGATTTCACTAGTTATTTTCATCGTTACTTTATTTCTATTTATGTAAAAGTTTTAATCGTAACTAGAGCGATATACATATACATATTTATCAGTCTTTTAATTTTTTCCTCCATCTTTTTTATAGTTACCGCAAAAATCTGCATATAATAGCATTTTTCATTAGCAGAACTAATACGCATTCAGTGCACTTTAAAGCCGCTGTACAATCGACGCTGTAAAAATGTATGTTAATAAAAATAGAAACGAGTTAAATTACGAAATCCTCAATACATTTTATTATGTTATTTGATAAAATATTAGGTGTTGGAATTAATTCGTAGCGTTTTTTAATGAAAGAATGTTATTTATTTCACATGAGCATTAAAAAATACATTAATGAAAGTACTTCCCATCACTTGTAAAACGCTACGAATTAATTCCAACACCTAATATATTTTAGGCATTTTATTCTCTCAGATATTTCATTTTTACATTTAGATTAGCGTTGTGTACAACGGCTTTAATGTACATTGAGTGCGCACAAGTTTTGCCAATAAAAAATGCTATATAATATTTTTTTAGTATTAAGAAAAAAAGTAACGAAAAAGTAACGAGTTACTTTTACAAATCAATAACGAGTAACGATAATGAGTTATTTTTAGGAAAAAAGAACGGTAACAGTAATGAGTTATTTTTATGAGATAACGTTGCCAACCATGAAGTTATAATTATATATTTAAAATTTGAAGAATGTTATTATAAATCTAACGAGTGAAAAAATTTGCGACATGTTTCAGGAATACTCATCAAGAATCAAATTTGCAAGATTTCTCTACAAATTCGCTTCAAAATTCTCACTTGTTACGAGGAGAAATCTCTCAGAATATAGCACGCGATGATAATGTTTCATTATATAAAACAAAAAATTTGATGTCTTCCGGAAACTACAGAGGATTTCAACAACAAGAACCTGTTAGCCAAAATTCATTTGTCAAGAATTATCTTAATAGTTCTCCGCAATCCTCAGACAGACAAGAAATATTTTCTGAAGACATACCTATGAGAGAATATCCTCGTGTTATTCCATCGAGACAAATTTTCGAAAAAAATTGGTTTTTCAGAAATCCTCACAATAAATATTCAGAATTCGAGGAGTTAGAAGACTATAAAAGGATGGAAGATTATAAACAGAACGAAGAAGATCTTATGAGGAAAGTACTGGTACATCGCGCCGATGATAAAGATACAAAGTCGTCAGGGAAGTATCCAGGAGACACGTCTTCAAACATCATGCAGTCAGAGAAATCTTTCTCTGAAATAGAAAATATTTACCGACTTCGCCGGGAAGACGAGCAAAAAGATGCAATCAAGGAATCTTCAAATTCCGCCAGCCAGCTTAGATATTCTCCAGAAAGATATAGTCCCGTAGGATTTAATCCATCAGAAGTTAAACCTGATCCTTATGTTAAGGATTCGGATATCTCAAAATCAACCAAAAAATTCTTTGATAATTGGGACATCGCTAAGAATTCACAATCCTCGAATGTAGGACAGTTTAGAAATAATTTCTTAGAACTATATCCTGCAAGAAAGCAAGAAATTATAGTTAAAGACGATAATGAACAAATCAATTCTAATTCTCATAATTCTAAGTTTCCTCAGGATATAAATACATGGAAATCAAGAAAGGATGAAACATTGTTCGATTCTTTAATGAAAGCAAATACTAAATCTTTTGAAAATGAGGAAGATGATAAAAATATGAAAGAATATTTTGAAGACGAGACTGAATACTTCATGGATGACAAAGATATGAAAGATTATTTTGAAGACGAGACTGAACATAATATCAAAACTGGACGAAATAATATTAATCCTCATATATTTCCTCAGAATATTTGGAAAGGAAGAGTGAATGAAGAATTCGACGATTTAAATTTTATACGTGAAAACTCGCAAGAGATGGGACAATTGGGATTATATTCTGAAGAAAATAATAAATACTTCCAGGACGAGCAAAACGAGGATCTAATCTTTCGAGAAAAAAACAAATCGTACACCAGTACTGAAATTGTCCGTACACCTGTGATCAATGCCTATAATGCTTATATACTTCCTCGCTACTTAAATATTGTAAATGATAAAAAATATCCTACCAAATCAGAAACGCAGGAATTGTCAGAAACTAAAAATAGTATACATGCAAATCCTGTAAAAGAAATGAATCACAGATTTTTCGAAGATGAGGCTGTTGTTGAAGATAATATAATGCGCATCAAAGATCTTATACTTCCTAAAAATATTTTCAATATAGAGGAACACAATAATCCTGTTGCCAACAAACAAAATAATGTAAGAAACAAAAACGAAGTTTTGACAGAACTCGATCCTGATATATTGGACGATATCGAAAATCCTTCAATAGAAACAACTGAATCGACACTAACGTAATTTTCTGAACTTTTTTTAGTGATAACAAATAGAGTTGATATTACATAGAAATATGTTAGATCTCAAAGAATTGAGTTACTTTTTATTTAAAAATTTTTTAAGGATCAATTTTCGCTCATCAATAAAAATGTCGACCAAGCAATAATATTTTAATTTCAAGTGATTGAAAACAATAAAAAATACATAAAGATATACAATAAAAAATTTTATGTTAAATTTAATACATTTCACATATTTCAAACGATCCACCCAAATTTTTGTGTTAATTTAACATAAGATGAATATATTAGAAAGTAACACAAATATTATGTACAAAATTAACACAAAAAGCGTAATAAAGCTTTGCCAATTTAAAAACAAATTTTATGTTGAATTGACACATTTATAATGTTAAATTTAACTGAAATTAGTTTTGGCGATGCTTTTGTGATATTTAACAATTTAACATATGCAATATATAGATATTTAACAGATATTTACTGTTATAAAGAAAAAAATAACACAAAATATCTATACCTTTTTATATATAAAATATGTAACTAGTTGTACAGAATATATTTCTTCAATAAAATTAATATTATAATACATTAAATCAACACACAAATTTTATCCATTTATTCTTAAAATTTAAAACTACAATATTTTTATTATTTGTTTAATTACCTATAAATTGTGTTATTTTAACATTGAGAAATGTTAAATTAAAACTCGAATATGTTAAAAAGTTAACACAAAAATTTTAACAAGGATTCGTTTTAACATAAATGCAAAATGATTTTTTCTGTGTATAATTGAGTCACACAATATTTAATATAAAAAAATTAATAACTTGCTACTAAATATTTTTATGAAAAAATATTTATTCCAAAATTGATCAAAAATTTTAGGGTGAATTAAAAGTATGATTCTAGATCTGAGATATCTTAGATACGTAATTTTCATCATTCTATTACTGTTGTGAATAGCGGCTGAGACTACTTAACTAGATTTAATAAGAAAAAAAATATTATCTATAATAATAAATTTAAAGATAACTATAAATTTATTATTTATTGTTAATTTATTAAGTTTCATTTAATTAGTACTGTTAAGATATATATTATTTGATGTACATAAATAATAAAATATTAAGATTGCTCCTAATTTTCTAAATAATATGTTTCATTATTATAAAAGAAACTCATCTGTAATACAAATTTAGAATTTTTTCGGTACTCACTATTATTATAAAATAAAATCACCATAAAAAAGAATTATTTGTATGATTTTTTTATTTTATTTTACAATTTTACTCCTCTGGTAAACTACACACACATACACACACACACACACACACACACACACAAATTATTATTATTATACCAAATCGTATTGCTATTTGTCGGTGCATTAAATTGTTGGCATAATTTCGCAAACAACATGAATAATTTCGTCAACTATAAATTGAAAGAGTGATAAAAAAAAGTTAATAACAGTTAAAATTGCAATTAACATATGAAATATTAAAGATATAATAAAATAGATATTTAATTTTTTCTATATTATATTATAT